GATTGTTCCATCCGAACGTCGGAGGGCGGTCACCTTGGTCTTACAGTTGGCGAATCCTCGGTGTTGCGTATGATCTTACGAGCTTCTGCGGCTTCCACCAATACTGCTGCTCTTCTCTCCTTTAGATCCTCCCTTATCGCTTCTCTGCATGGCTTCCAGCTAAGACGTTAGCTGTTAATTGCATGGGGCTCGCGCGGCTCCACGTTGGCGAATCAGCTTTCGAGTTTCCAGAGATGAAGGCTTCTTTTAATCTTGGAACTCTCTTGACTTCTTGGCGCAGATATGTAACATGACATGTTACGATATTTCTCAAAACTCGAATGGTCATCATACCCCGTGGGAGCAGGTAAATATACGGAGTGGAATGGATCAGAACGTTGTGAAGGACGTTATCAAATGCTGAGTTGTGGGCAAAAGTCGGATTCCCCGTGGCCCGACTTTTGCACACAACTCAGTATTCTTATGATAACTTTCGGGTCGCGCACTGTGGCATTAAGCAGCAGGTATCAAACAATATTAGTTGTGAGGGACGTTTTCACCTCTTATTTCTTGAAAAAGGGTCATCCGTTCGCCATTGCCGCAAGCAAAAGTGTTCCTGACACTCAGCCTCCGATAAAAAGGAATTTAGACTGCCATCTCAGCCTTTCTCGATGTGACCATCTTGTGACACGGCGTAAGGGGGCTGCTGGCAGGAAGAATCGTGTTGATAAATGCTACATTTGAACACAAGGCGCTAAGAGGCTCCCAGAATGCTATTTGTTTCAAGATAGCTCCCGTGAGATTCTTATCATGAAAATAGTGGGTCGTGCCCGGGATTCCGTTACTGAGATGCGTCACAGAAAGCCTCGATCGTGAAGATCGATGACCGTGAAAAATTGCACTTTGGAGATTTGCCGTGACGCTGAGAAACCCCATAATTCGAGAGCTGACTTCACACATTAGATAGCGCGTTCAGCTCGGCGAGATTCTACAAACGATGACCAGTAAGCGAGCAGTCCATCACAAAATGGAACGATCAAAGTGGCCTCGCTAAGAATCGGTGTAAAAGAAGTCACTTGAGAATCATGTTGGGATCCTTGTGCGCCCTCACCTTGTACCATCTCGCTTCTTCTGGGATCAGTCTCCATTATGCTATAGTGCGGACAGTGTATATTCCATTACATAGAACAGACCCTTGGAGGGGGGGGGAGTGTGGAGAAATTCGGAAGTGTTAGCAAGATGTGAGTGTTATCGACAAACCCTGTGAACGCTCATCCTTTGAGTTCCCTAAGGGAAGCCCGCCTACTTTGCCAGAAAATGGCACGGGTGTTCAATTTAAAGCTGCCATATTGCTAGCGTTGTGATGTATTTTATCACTGATTACGAAAAAAAGATTCCGTCAAAAAGCTGTTATCACTTCCGAAGATAGCCAACCCACATGGATTGCTCCGTTGTCTGTTCCATGATAACTCTTCGGTAAGCGGAACTCATACTTTGCAAAACCTGCAAAATTGTGCACATGTTCAAAGAAAACCAAACTCCAAAGAGATGAGAACAATATGGTGTTGTTATCCATGATATAATATATGATATCTGAAGGGTCTCATGACCCAAAACGTTAGGTCGATCTGTTGAGTTTTGCAATGAATTGAGTAACTGGGATCATGTATGGCATGCCATAAAACTTCCAGATGTACCTTCAAGGAAATTTCTCGTCCAGTTAGTGTTTTTAGCTAAATAGGAGCCAGCCATCACTTCCCAGTTATAGAAGCGGTCGTAAAATATGATATCAGCTTGCTGATCGATGAAAATCTTCGATCCTCCTAAATTAAAAAGAATTTTAGCTTACGCATGATTGATCCTCGGGTTTGCTTTAACGCATTGCTGGCGTGAACAGCTGATCCTCGGTTTGCTTTAACGCATTGCTGTGTGAACAGCTAACTTCACAACAAAAACATTCAGATCTAAACTATGCCTGAAAGCTCGCCTGTGAAACACAGCAGAATTCAGCCTTTTCGGAGTTCCACCTGGACCAAATATTCAGTGACCGGAGGATTTCTTTTTTTTTCTCAGATGTGACATTTGACGCATTTATTCTATGGGACAACAGCCTCTCGAAGTGACCTTGATTACTGAAGCCGTCCTAATATGCCTTTTGTACCAGCGCGGAGCGGCAAAATACGATCATCGCTATTTCGATGGCGGGTGAAAGTTCAGAGCGCGATTACAATCTGGGAAAATATAAGTGTTTACAAGTGGAGTCTCATAATCCTTGTTGCTGGTAACTAGGGCAATGTGTCGGCAAAGGGAATTGATGTGGCCGCTATTCTTCATCTCTGTATTGACCATTACAAATAAGGCAGTTCTCGAAAATATGACTGAAAACTTTCAACAATATGAACTCTTGATTTCGCATTAAAAGGACTTTCATCTCTCACTAACTCATAAACGGTGAGGGAATTGAAATGCCTCTTGACAGAAACAAACAGGTTACTTTTTTGGATTGACAACTCCTATATCAGAGTCGATGAAAAAGCACGTAGTCGAAAGTCCTTGAGTCTTCCATGAACTTCGCAACAACACAGTGACGTTTGAAGAACTTCTGAAATCACTCCCTAATAATTTGTCCTTTTTTAGCACGATCAATTGGTCCGTCTTGTTTATAAGCAGGGCAAGTCGCACCGCAAAAGTGCCTCCTTATGGAACCACCACCGCTCGGTGGTATACAATCAAATATTAACCACCTAAAAATGTAGGTAGCCATGTTGCCGCTTTCTCTCTTCTGCCAATAGCCAAACCACTTGGAACGACTCCAGAGCGCCTTTGGAGTTTTCGAAGCGAATTGCTCTTGTGACTTCACCTCGTTCAAGAGGAGATTTGGGATCAACACACGAGCTTTTATAAGGAAAGTCATTTCCAAAATTCAGCATGGGACATAACATCGATGTTCATGACCGGATGTACCAGCAATAAAAGGGAGGTTGCGCCTGCAAGCCTCCGCAGAATCGAAAACATGCCGCTGGAATCAGCTCATGGATGTGCACATTTAATTGGACCTTAAGATTACTCCACATACTTGTCACTGGCAGCCCCGCCTATTTGCTTAAGCTGAGCGCTGACCCCTCACTGCTACACTTTCTTGAGACTGAATAACCAGATTAAATTAGAAGCAAAGAAAAACAAAACACTGGAAAAAAATACATTTCAAAGCAACAGAAATGCCTCTCCGTATCGTGTATAAACGAATCATCGTTGTCTTCTAGACAGCCGAGATCGTCAGTACGACAGGGTTGACGACATGAGGACATGGACTAAATAAGGGGAAGGAGTTGAGGAATAGGATAAGACGAGGGAAAAGGTGGAAAAAGGTTTACATGCAAAATTTATGCAATTAAGATGAGCAAGAATTGTACAGATACATGAAAGATGGATATAACGTGATGTGGGTACTAAACACGTGTAAGAGGAAGCAAAATTGATTGTACTCAACAGGCTAAAACATCTGAGAGAATACTGAGTATATATGAAACTGTCGAAGCGGATTACAAAAAGTTGAGTCGTAAAAAGTAATAGTGGTAACAGGAGAATTAGTGTTGAACACCGCTGCCAATGAGAACACCTCTAACCAACCTGCTCACCTTTCTATAGTTATGCGTGATTGAGTATTTGCAACTCATAAAGTTTATTCCTGTAAATACATTTAACAATGCTAGTAATGATAAGATCTTCTTCGAAGCCATTCTTCAAAAGAGTAACGTCATATCCGTTATATTGCTTACGAATATGTCAGAATTACGGATGTTAGCTATCCTCAATGTTTCCGTGCATACAACAGAGGCATTGTTTATAAGAGAAATATTGGTACGTTATACTAATCGTTAAATCTGAATAATTGCTGAGGAATTCGTTTAGATGAGTCTTATTCAATTGATGGGTGTTTTTATAAACTTCAGTATGTTGTTCATCGACATCGCTATCAGTTTGGTTATGTACAACAAGAAAATCGTCCACATATTTATATGGAATGAACAGCTTACTATTATTCTACTGTTGGAATTTCTGGATTTCGCATAGCAGTACACCATGACAGAAAGCGTAAGATTTGCCATCAGTGGACTAAAATCACCACCTCGTAGGACAGCTTTCGTCTTAAACGTATTATCTGCAAAAAGACAGAAAGTATTACGTAAAAGATAGTTGATTGAGTATACTTCGCTGGATTTGTAGTATCTGTACTTGTTCTTATTTCTTTACCATCGGTATAGCAGACATGGTAGTCATTAGTGGCAATCAAGGATTTGTGGGCATTCTTGAAGCAAATGCTAAGAGGTTCTTGCATTTTCCCAATAATAAGATCGTGTTCTAAATTCGTGAACATGTCCGTGAAACCCTCAGTGTAAATTTTGGCGTAGTCCTTGGGCATCATGCCCCAAGGTCTCAGCAGCTGCCATAAGCATCTGTGTTCCATTTGAACTTGACTGGACTTTTATGTAGCTTTCGTGGTGCATATACAGTAAGTGTTTCTGCATAGTAGATGTATTAATATTATTTTTTACGCAAAGGATTTGCTGCTTCAGCCATTACAGAATAGTTGTTGGTTTGAGACACTAATTCATATGTGTTATTACTGTTTCCATAGGCATAGGTGTGATTAGCAGCATAATAAGAAATGCCCATTTCATGCATCATGGCTGAAAGGTAAAAACTTCTTGCAGATGATGCCCATAGCTATTATTTGTTTTGTCAACAAGACAAAACACGTGTTTCCCTGATATTGCTTGATTAAGTTATAAGGTATGTGTTCTCCTATATTTTCGATATTAGCCTTTATCAGTAAAGGTTTTACTTTGTCATGGTGACATGAACGAAAATGTTTCTGTACTAGATTGACTGGGTTAGATAAAAATGGTACGATCACACCTCCGTTAATTATGCCTCGCTTATGCCTCGCCCCTAGGTGCGAGACATCATTAACGAGGTGCGAAGCGACCTCATTAAGCAGGGGGAAATCGTGCTCGAGTGCGAAGTGACCTCATTCAATGAGAGATCATTGAGTTATCGAAATCGGAATAAATCGAGTGAAAACTAAACTATCAGGAAATTAAAAAAAACGTGAGGCTCACGAACAATTACTTATAAAAATGCTGGCACTACATGGTAAAACTCAACAAAATGGCATTGTGCTTAATTACTGATTGACCGTCAGTGGAAAGCTTATCCATATGGTCTTCCTAGTTATCATGCTATCTAGAATTCGGCATAAATCGATCGGAAACAGCCGCTACGGCTTACGAAGACTTGGAAGTCGCGTGGAAATCTTTGAAAATTACGGAGGGATTCCTTGCATATCGCTAAGATCTCACTGCTGCCATGCTGCCATCCATGCGGCTAAAGTGGTATTCCCAAATACGGCTGTCGAAGGGTGTGCCTTTCACCTGGCACAGGCGTGGAACCGAAAAAGAAATCATTTGGGGCTCCAGAGATATCTCAGGCGCAGAAAAAGGCTTGGCAAATGCAAATGGCAAAGTAGGACACCTTTCAGATCCCTTTCTTCATTGCACCTCTCAACACTGTACTTATTTTCAGATTCAACGAACTTTATCAGCAGGGAGTATCTAGTGCCCAAATAGAGTGCTACTGCATAAAAATGTCTCAATTCGTCACAAACAAAACTGTATAATACATTCGTTAATTATTGATAACCAGTCGCCCTCGCCGGCTGACGCCGGCGCGGCTCCTTCTGATACGGCCCGGCTGCGCCGGGCGGGCGCGGCTTCGCCGCGCGTACCTTCTCTCACATATTTCTAGACTCAACTGGTATCCCTTTTGTTCTGTACTCCATTTTTCTCCGGTGTCTGAAGTGCTCTTGAGCTGTTTTACAGATTCTTCGCCTGACTCCGCCCACCTCAGAGCAGACCCCGCCCCTGATTTTTGTGCCCCACAATCCTCACTGGCAACCCTCTGCTGACCTTAATCCACTTTTTTCCGGTATTCGTAGTGCTCTGGGAGGGTTTTGGAGAATTTTTGTCTGGCTCCGCCCACCTCGAAGCAGGCTCCGCCCCCCAATTTTCGTGCTCCGCACTCCTCACAGGCGACCCTCTGCTGACCTTAATCCACTTTTTTCCGGTCTTCGGAGTGCTCTGGAAAGCTTTGAAGAATTTTTGTCTAGCTCCGCCCACCTCGGAGCAGGCTCCGCCCACAATGTTTTTGCCCCACAGTCCTCACCGGCGAACCTTTGCCGACCTTGACGCACGTTTTTCCGGTCTTTGCAGTGCTCTGGAACCGAGCTACAAACTTTTAAAGTGAGTATCCTGCGGTTTAGGGCAAGCCTCCGCCACTGTGGGCGCGACTCAACAACATTTTGAGCATGTCCAATACTCGCCAGATATTTACATTCTGCACTGAGCTTTTTGCGGCTTCTGAACACTCTCGCGAACCGAGTTACTGAGTTTTATGCGAAGCACCGCCCACTTTGAGTACGCCCCGCCCATTTTGGATGTGTCTGCCACAGTTAGTCTGGCGACTCCTTACTAACCTTATTCCCTTTTTTCACCATCTTAGGTTGCTCCGGAAGCGAATTATGAACATTTTTCTGTGAAACCCCAAAATTTCAGCGAGTGCCCCGCCCACTGTGGGCGGGGCTTCGCATAGGTCAAGTGTGCTTTTTATTTCTTGTCCCATGCTCTACCCATCCCCACCTTGACCCGACCTCTCCAAGTCGTTCTTCAGGTCGAACCGAATTTCCGGACAGA